CTCAAGCATTATATCATTTTTTTATGTCCTTTATTCACATATATTAATTATCAGGGAAAGTTGGTGTTGTATTTGGACTGATTTTTTCAAAAAGTTAAGAGCTGGCAGTGCCTGTGGCTCAAAGGAGTAAGATGCCGGCTCCATATGCCAGAGGTGGCAGGTTCAAACCCAGCCCTGGCCCCCTCCCAAAAAAAGTGCAAAAAGAAAAAAAAAGTTAAGAGCTTAAAATGCAATAGGATAGGGCTTACTCACATAAAAAATGAGTCCCTGCTCATCAGAGGAGGATCCTGCATGCCCAACATCTACAGTCTGCTGGAGCCTGACAGTGACAGGTGTGCCCAGGGGAAGGTGCAGTGCCTAGGAGTCTTGTCTTTGGGTATGTCCACTGACCAGGGACATGAGTGGTCAGCAAACAAAGGCCATAGGCCAACCACAGCACACTTCCAGTGGGCCTCAAGCTAAGAGTAACTTCTATATTTTTTAATGGCTGAAAAAATCAAAGAGAATAATATTTTATGATGTGAAAATTATATGAAATTCAAATTTTAGTGTCCACAAAGAAAGGTATAATGGAACACAGCCACACACATTTATTTTCAAACTGTTTATGGCTGACAACAGAGATGAATGGTTATGACAGAAACTGGATAGCCCACAAACCCTAAAATATGTACTGTCTGCCCTCTTAGAGAAAAAGTTAGCCAAGTCCTGGTACAGGGCATGGGCTCTGGAGTCAGCCTGCCTGGATTTGCATCCTGACCAGCTTTTTTTAGTTGAATGACTTTAAGGAAGTTGTCCTATTCCATGCCTCAGTTCCCCTATCTTTAAAATGGGGATTGTTGTAGTAGTTAACTTGTAGGAATATTAGAAGAAATTAATTAACAAATATATGTAAAACACTGAAATGAGTTCCCGTAACTAGTATCAGTTCATTATTATTATTTAGGCTGGAGTTTCTCAGTCACTACAAGATTGTAACTTCCTGTTTAATATAAGGATGTTGAAAACCACCTAGAGGGTTACTGGGTAGATTAAACAGAATCCCTGGGAGTGCAGTTTTCAGCACACCACCTGGCACACAGGTGAAACCCCACAAAGGCTTCCCTGGAATTTCTAAACATTTGTAAGACTTTTATGAGATTCCATCAACTCATGGGCAAAAGCATCTGCTGGCACAGCCGATTCTCACCTATCTCCCCTGCTCCTGGCCAGATGTAGAATGACCCTGCAGTACAGTGGTCTGAGTCCCTATGCTAATAGCTGCATTTCCAGCCTCCCCTGCACCTCGTTTGTGACTCAGTGAAGGTAAAGTCTCAGGGTTGCTGCAGACAGGACATGGATGATCTTCCTACTTCTTCCCAACCCCACTCTAGTTATAAAAATGAACTGCAGGGAAGATGAGTAGGGAGGGTTCTACACACCATGTCTATTTCAACGGAAGCATTTTTGAAGGAATAAAAAATTATACTAGATTATATTGACATAAAAGGCATTTTCTTACATTGCATTAGGTTTGCTTTGGTTTTTACCTATTTGGGGAGAAGAATGAGGAGAGGATAAAAATTGTTTTATCCCCTAGAGCAGGAATATTAAAATCATTTAATAAAATAACTCATATTAAATATAAAATTGTATATAGAGCTTTATTCATCATTGTTTATAATTAAGCACGAGATACATTAAATTGATGAATCAATTCCTTTATGAAAAAATGTGACCTCTATGCCTATCTTTTTTTCTTCTCTCCTTTCCTTCCTTCTTCTTCTTCCTTCTTCTTTTCCTTCCTTCCTTCTCTTTCCCCTTCCTTGTCCTCTGAATAGATGAAGAAAAAACATTTGATCAAAGTCAATGCCAATTCATAATAAAAATTTCCAATTAACTTAGTACAGAAGAGAACGTTCTCTACTTGATAAAGGATACCTTTGCCATGCTTTCAGCAAATATTAATATAATAGTAAATGATAGTTGCTAATAGTTCTAATAGTTGCTTTAGAATCAGGAATTGAGCTGATGTACCTAGAATCTCAGCTTGTAATCACCCATATACAGGTAGTCTTAGCCAGTGCAATAAGACAAGAAAAACAAAAAACTTATAAGGCCTAAAAAAGATAACACAAAACTAATGTTATTCACAAAATGCTGCGTATACAGAACACTCAGCCCTGCCCCCCCCCTTTTTTCTTTCCATCTTTTTTTTTTTTGACATTTTTATTGAAAGGCCTTCCTGCCTTGTCTTCAAATCATGTGGTGGGGTTGGTATCTACCCTTGAAGCAGGACACCTTATTCCTGAGTTTTGCATTGACCTTGTCCTGCTGGGTCTGGTGGCTGGATTATTAGACTAGGAAGGCTCTCTGTAGGTTCTGTTCTCTCTGTAAAAACTTAGAAGCATCCTTGGTATTGCATTTACTATTTCTCAGTAGAGCTATTTAGCTATAATCTGGAAACATTTTCCCGGAGGGCTCCCGTTAGATAGCTGTAAAATTTAGCGGGGCACATAATAAGTAAATAGAAAAGAAAAGTCAGATTAGGCCAAGAATTTTTTCAATCTTCTACTGTCACAGAAGCCCTCAAGGAGCATACCATAATTCATACTTTACTCATGTGGGTCAGGCATAAAGCCTTCTCCACAGAGCGAATAACCTGTAAGTGTACTGGTTTTGAAATTACACCTGCTTGTGCTGCTGGATCATCCCACTAAATCACACGGCAGTGGCTTCTGGTTCAGTCATTTGTTACTTGAAAATGTCACATTGCCAGAGAGCTGCGTGATGTTTACTTCCGAATGGACAGTGCATTAGCAAAGAAGTTTTAATTACAATCTCATGTAGCAGTGCCACACTTCAGCCTGCGGAGGGGCTGACATTTGCACCGTACATACATTTTATAACTGTGCAGAAAATGCCTCTCTGGCTGGGTTGTGTAAAATAGGCAGCAGAGTCAGCAGAACCTTAAAAAAGATGACACAGCAAGTGGAACTGAGCTGGAACATCCCCCATCCTGCCAAGAGTGCAGTGCTCCCTGCCCCTTTTTAAAGCAAGAGAACCCAGTTAGTGTTTGCCCTCAACCTCCCCATTCTGAGGCAGAATCCATGACCCAGCAGACAGAGCCTTTAAAAAGAGACTTGGAGTCTCTGGGGTCTGAGGTGCATGCAGGATTATCTGAGACCAAGTCCTGCTCCCCAAGGATTCCCTGTCACTTCACTTGCTTTTTATGCCACCAACTTGACATTTCTAGTGCAAAGCAGAAGCCATTTAGAAAAATTTAGGGGATGCTTAAGAGGGTGTGAGTGTATGTGTATATGTGTGTGTGTATGTGTACTGCGTGTGTGTATGTGTATGGATTCAGTATGCTGGTGGTGCAGCTCTGACGTAAAACAAATTTTTTTTAAATCCTCCTACTGGCACAAATGCTCAGGAGCCAGGCACCTGACAGGGAGCATCCTGAAGGGCACTGTCACCTGAAGCAGAAGGGCTGTCGGACCTTTCTTTTCACCATTCAAATCATTGTAATGCGATGTCTCTCGTGTTGGGAGATTCATCTTTTGCATTTTGGAACTCAGCCTTCCCAGTGTTCTGATAGTTTTCTGCTGTCTGTTCAGCTTAGCACACTAAGAAGCCGGAGAGGTAGCCTGCAGCCTGGATTCATTCTCCGTCTTGGAAAAGCATTTGACTGCTTCAAGAAATCGTGAAGTCACTTCTGGCCACACTGTGGGATTATATTGAAAAAAAAATCTTTTTTTATTCTAAAAATTTTATATTTAAATGCCAGAAAGCTTGGAGACAGTTTCTTTGAAAAAAGGCTTTGATTTCTGAGGCTAATAAAGGCATAAAATGACATGAGAGCTTCGAGCCATGATTCAGGGAAAGGTTTTTCCAAGCACCTACTATGTTCAGAACAGGGATGCGGGGATGTCCTAGAGAATCTGAAGTTCTGGCTTAACCCTCGAAACTTTGAAAGCCATGGCTGAAAAGGAAAGATGAACACCTAGAGGCTCCCTCTGGAAATGATTGAGGTTTGCCACCACAATTTGCTGCTTTGGCTTTTTGCATCTAAATTTGGTGTCTTCATGTGCTGTCCGGAATCTACTACAGGTCAGATGGAGCTTAGGAAGACAAGGGTAACTGTTCTCTTTGTCTTTGTAAAATGTTTTGTCTGTCATCTCTCTCTTCTCCACAGTCTGTTGTTTTTATTTATGTAATTCTTGTCTGCAAAGTCCTTGGAGTAGGTAGGCTCCCTCTCACCCAGCAGCCTGGTTTGGAGTAACTTGCAGATTTGCAAATAATGTTTTATGTGAAAGTGATTTTCAAAACTTGTGGTTGTATATAATATAGAAACTATGCCCAGAGGAGTTTTCTCTCTGTACATTTTCTTTTGCCTTCTGGTTATTATTTATAAATATTAATATGTGCATTTGAAATACACTGTGGATACAAAGATAGTTCCTTAAGAGGCCCATAATAGAATTTCCTTTTTTAAAAGAAAGATTTTTAAATTAGTAAACTAAAAAAAAAAAAAAAAATCTTTGTGCTTTAGAAAAGCCATTACATAAACGAAGAGTGCTTTAGACAAGGTGGGGAAAGGTTTTTTAAAAAGATGGAACCAGAAGCAATAAAAGATGAGTGCCTGACAAGGTCATTGGGTGGGAAATTGAAGGCCACATTTCTCTATAGAAGGGGTGAGGAGAATGGTTCTGCTAAGTAGAAGCTTCTGAACTAAAAGCTGGACGATACTGGGGGGTGAGGGAAGAGGAGCAGATTCCTGCCCCTTTGCCGTCCTCCCAGAGGGTGCCTCTGTTGATATCCCCTGCCCTTTCCCTTGCCCTGGCTCCTAAGCCAGATCATCTCTATGCAGCTGAAGTGAGATGGGCCATTGTTTATATTCCGCAGATCAGTGTACAGCCAGCAGCTTGTGCAGTGGGACAGAGTTGTATGGCAGAGTTGTTATGTTGTCTTTGTAATTGACCTTGACGTTTTCCTTTTTTAAATTTTTAACCCTACAGGAGCCTAGTAATAAACGGGTCAAACCCCTTTCCAGAGTCACATCACTAGCAAACCTCATCCCACCTGTGAAGGCCACACCATTAAAGCGCTTCAGCCAAACCCTGCAGGTAAGCAAGGCGTGGGGGCCCGTGGTTGCAGAAAACTGTTGTGTGTCCTACCCAGAATTTCCCCTGGTTTCAGACTGACCCAAATCAATGCTTATTTCTATAGAAGAGTGCAAGTGAGGGGATGGGGAGGAGAAAGGCGTTTTCAAGTCTGAGAGTGCAGTCAGGAAGAGCCAGGCCTATTTCTGTTGGATCTTTTCTCATAGTTGTATTTCCGAGTTGTGTGCCCCATTCAGGCACACCGTCACAGGTTTCTTTCCTAAAATATCTATGGGCCTCCTGAGAAAACCAGCATGATATAAGCTGGAGAGCAGCAGAGCCTAGTGGCTTCAATTGGGGTCGGCACACTGCAGCAGGTGGCGGAAAATCCAGCCCACCACCTGTTTTTCTATGGCCCACAAGCTAAGCATGGTTTTTACTTGTTAAAATGCTTGGGGAAGAAAAATCAAAAGAGGGTGATATAATTCATGATATGTGGAAACTATATAAAATTCAAATGTCAGTGTCCATAAATAAAGTTTTATTGGAACACAGCCATGCCCATCTGCTGATGTATTGTCTCTGGCTGCTTTTGAACTATAATGGCAGAATTGAGTAGTTGTGACAGAGACCATATTGCCCACAAAGCCAAAAATATTTTACTCTCTGGCCCTTTATATAAAATTATTTGACCTCTGGCTTATAGCCAGGACCTAATGCCTTGGAGTGGAAGTGCCTTGGCTCTAACCTCAGCTCTGTCACTCAAAGACTTTGTCACCTTGAGCAGATGCCCTCACATCTCTAGGTCTTGGTTTTAGTCCTTATGGGTAAATTTGGCATGATGCCATCAGCTTCTTCATCGAATAATTGTAAATATTTATGAGACAGTGCATTTAAAGGACCTAGTATAGTGTCTTGGCCTTAACAATCAATAATTTTAACTAAGTAGTTAACATTAACTACTATAATAATATTTTTAGTTAACACATGGTTGTAGTTCTTGTTCTTAAGACCCTGATGAAGTTTCTTTTAAAGTGAACAACATTGAGATGTATCCAAGGCTTTGGGCCCAATTCGGTAATCATAAAAGTATGCCTTTATACTGAAGCCCACAAAAGTCATGCCATGGAAAGGCTCACCTGGTTTGGCTGAGCAGTAGTCTTGAGTCTGCCATTTCTTATTTGTCCAGAATACTTCTTGGCAATATTTCTATCTGCTTTCTGAGTCTTTAAGAAAATTATGGACCAGAACAAAGGCATGCCCCATGCTGTGAAAATCCATGATTTGAGAACTATTCAAGGTTCTCCCTCACCACTCTCTGTCCTTGCTTCCCCACCCTTTGGCCAGGGTGCCTTGACTCTGCATAGTCCAAGCTGTTCCTGCCACTCTCTTGCAGACACCATCCCTCTCCAATATTTATCCCCTGTTAACTCTGCCACCAATTTCTCCTGCATGAATACCTCATCACCTAATTAGCTATAGGTTTGGCTCTGATGTTGTCAGTGCTTGAGCCTCTGGACCTCTGGTTATCCCCGATCCCTTTTATGGGAAAAGTGGAGGAGAAAGAAAATAAGGTTTCTGGGTCAACCAGATGAAGGGCTTTGAAGCTAGAAAAGAAGAATGTGTTTACCTTCTCTCCCTTGTGACCAGTCCTTCAGCCCTCTAGACAAGTTCATTGTAGGCTTACCCTGGAAGATTCATCACTGCCCTGGTCCTGCACATCTGGTCTTTCACTGAGTTCTGCTTTATGAAAATTCATTAGCCTGTCTACTACATTTCCCCCTTTCCTCTCTCTCCCAGTGACTGTGGCTCAAGTTCACTCTGTAGTTGTTTCCTTTCTTGATTATGGACCCTCTTTGGTGCCAGCCGTCTCTTGCCATTGTTTCTCCCAGAACAGTTCACCGTTGGCCCAAGAAGGCCTTCACTTGTTCTATAAGCATTAAATGAGCCTGCTTCACGCACCAGTCTCTTCTTCCCTCCTCATGTTGCCATGTTCTAGTTAGTTGCCTTCTGGTAGATTCGTGGCAGTGCTGGGCCTGCCTACACATGTCCCTGTCTCTCCCAATTGTTCTTCCAACACCTGGCTCCTTTGCTCTCTTGTCATTGCCTGGCCTAGCCTGTAGGTTTTTGTGTTTGTGTTCCTGCCTAGTCTGTGCCTTCCTCTATAGCCCAGCCCTGACTGCATATTGCTTTAAGATCCTCCATTATCATTCCTTCAAAATCTTGTGGCTTACCAACCAAACTTTATTTATCTGTTTTCTCTTATTTCTGGGGATCTTACACAGGGAACACTGCAGGAAATATTTGATTACCTTGGAAATTTGCATTGTACTAGAGAAGTAGGACAGAAAGAAATCAAGCCACAATCTAACAAACTGAGGCCAAACAAGGATGAGAAAGCCAGACCCAAGGGAAGGTCTGACATGTGGAAATTAGTTTCTAAAACCTCAAAGATTTTCTTTTTTTGCAAAATAACTTATTTTTTTTCAAATTTCATGATAAATAGCTAACTCTAGACTCTATGTATTGAACAGAAACAACCCAGCAGAAACAGAATAGTTATTCATATTAGTAATGGACATAGACATGGAGAGAACTTGAACCTGCTTATGTTTGTGTGTGTCCTTGGGGAGGGGTCGTCAGTGAATGGAAATACGCTCCTGAGGTTGTACGCAGAGTTACCAACCACGCTGTTGGAATGATCTGCGAAGCATGGAGAATGCCATTGTTCCCCCTAAATGTCATCCTATAATTCCCTTTGGTAGAAGCCATACAACTTCTTCAGCCTTATTTCCAGCCTCAGGACTCAGTCAGAGCCTCATGAATTTATTGTTTCCCTCCCCAGCTAGACTGGGAGAGGGTGCTAATGTACCCTGGGACCAGTAAGGCTAAGAACGAGAAGTAGGCACCAAAGGGGTGCTCAGTGGCTTACTTCACATCCTCACCCATTTTATCAAGGTCTTAATGCTCATTCTAATAGGGGAGGAACAGAGAACAAAGAGTATATGAGCTGCCCCAAACCTCTCGACAGCAGTTTATTCCTGACCCATATGTGTGTATTATTTATGCCTTTTGTGTTCCAAAAATGTCTTGAGGCTGCAAAGGAGCATCTTGGTACTCTATCATAGTATCCCTTTTCCCTGACTCCTGGCACCTTGGAGACACGTGCATCTCCTTGAATATCCAGTTATGTCTCTCAGGTTGCGTTTCTTGAATTATAGAAGAAGAGATGACTCAGGCCCAAACACAATGCTTTAATCAATGTGGAACACTTAGCAGTCCTTCCTCTGTCTCCGTGGGAGACCGCAGGTTAGCCCAGGAGGATATCGAAAGAGCTCTGGGCTGGTGGCCTCTCCCAGAACGTTAGAAGCACACATGAGTGGTCCTTGTGGCAACAGTTCAGCAAGACACTACAGGAGCTGTTCTGTCTTGCCTCCCCATGCCCACACTGCTGGGGGCTTGGGCCTCAGCACAAAGGCGGCATTTGTGGATGTGGGGAGGGACAGCCTGACTGCATGGCGCTCTGTCTGCTTCTTACCAGGAAGGTTTGCACTGCCTGTAGACTTGAGCACAGATGTCTGGATCCCTGTGGGCCTATAAATCCCTTCCCAGCTCTGAAAGGGGCCGCCGTGTGCTCCTCTGTGGAGTCAGGAAGGGGAGCTTGACTTTGGCCAGTTTTGCCTGCCTGTCCCCGTTCACAGCTGTGCGTGGCTGGTGGCGTCATTTGAGCCAAGGCCAGCACATGCTATGGAATGTTGTGTTCATTATCCTGGATGGAGCCCTTCATTCTCTTTGGACATGAACTCTTTCTTTTCCAGTATAAAAGTATATATTCAATATGGAAAAATACAGAAAAGGAGAAAGAGAAAAGAACACGTGCGGCCTTCTACTCCAAAACAACCTGTTAATGTTTTAATAATTTCCTCCTAATATTATTCTAAGCATAAGTACATAACTTACATACCGTGGGCCTACTTTGGGGTACTCATAGTCTATCCGGCCGTACCTCTGTGTAATCTATTCATTTTAGTTTAAAGCCTCCCACAGTGACTATAGGTGGTCAATTTCTCTTACATCTTCATTGTTCTTGGCCTCGCACATTTCCAAACCATGCAGTTAGGTACATAAATGTTCATATTTGTCACCATTACGGCCCCTTTGAGGCATTGTACCGTGGACTAAAGTTAAATATCCCTGGTTCAATTATTTTAGTGCTTTTTCCTGTTTCTTTCTTTCTTTCTTTTTTGTCATTTTCTTAGTGTGTTTTGTTCCCTCTATTTTCATCCTCCCTTTTGACATTTCACTGGATGAGTTTTTAATCTAAGTTATTAACTTAGATTTTATTTTTTCTAAGTGTTCTAAGTTATAACTGTATTATATCAGAGTAATTCTTGAAAAATATGACTTTTATGGATTGAATATATATTCCAATGCTTTGATATGATTTATTTTACATAACCAGTCTCCCATTAAAGAATGTTCAGGCTGTAAATATTTTTATATTATTAATAACTCTGTATTGACTGTCCTTTGAAGGCATTTGCCTTATTTTTTTACTTCATTTTTTTTTTTTTTGAAACAGAGTCTCACTGTATCATGCTCGGTAGAGTGCCATGGCGTCACATAGCTCACAGCAACCTCCAACTCCTGGGCTTAGGCAATTCTCTTGCCTCAGCCTCCCGAGTAGCTGGAACTACAGGTGCCCGCCACAATGCCTGGCTATTTTTTGTTGTTGTTGTTGCAGTTTGGCCAGTGCTGGGTTTGAACCTGCCACCCTCGGTATATGGGGCTGGCACCCTACCCACTGAGCCACAGGCACTGACCATGCTTTATTTTTTTTTAATGTATCTTTTATTGTGCTTTCTTTTCTGATTATATAACATCATAAAAAAATTGAAAAGTACAGTGAATCACAGAAAAAGGAATAAAAGTCTATTAACTAGAATAAAACTTCCATTAACATTTTAGAATATACTCAGGCAATCTTTCCCTTTACTGTATATCTGTATGCATATTTTTAAAAC